TATGCGCTTGGAATTTGTGGACCCTCCATAGGAATGGTGCCTCTGTCCAACAGGTTTGCTAAGAGAAATACCGGGCTGACATCACCATAGTACAGCCATATTTTGTTCCAGTGAGATACTGGTAATCGATACAGCTATGCAATTTTTACACAACATAGAAGAAATGGTGGCAGTAATTTCTGCATACCCAGCTCAAAATTTGTATTTTTTGGATTATGAAACTATTGAAGTAAATAAGCGATATTTGTTTTTTGTTTTTTAGGTTCTTTGTATAAAGATTTTGTCCCTAGTGAAATTTTCTGGCGAATAATTTTCTAGAACATTTAAACACTCCAGCAAACTCCCAAATACCAATTTTTTCAGACTTTCCAAAAAAGCCGTCAAAACGATGCTAATGGGTTAATATGTTCTGCAAAATTATTCTAACTCTTTTTCAACTTATGTATTCTTAAAGCACTCATGCAAAAAACTCGGATCATTCCGTCCCAGAAAATGACCCTGAAATTTTTGCACAGTGCTATCAATGCGTCAAGTTAACCTATTAATGATATAAAAGTCAGAGCATCAATAATTTCGATTAGTTTTCGTTATTTTGAGTTATGTATATTGGTATATAGCGTATACGGTTGTCCGCAAAATAATAGGAGTGCGATATTTTGACCAGTTTGTTTATTTAATGTTTATTATTATTGCTATTTTTTTTAAGACAAGCTGGTTATACAACAAACAATTTCAAATCAACTCAAAAAAATTTTGTTTTGTTGAAGGGGTTTTGCATTTTTTCCATGCACTGCTAACAAGAAAAAAAGCCAAAAATCAACGGCTTTAGCAGCTTGAAACTTGCACTTCATTATACTACAATTTAATGGGTTACTACAACAGCATTAAAAATGTTTGAAATTTTGATGAAATGTTGCAGATTTTTTAGAATATTTTTACAAACAACAAATGCGAGTTTATATGGTGTTTGTTGTATAACCAGCTAGACTTTTATAAAAAAATATTAGGCATTAAATAAACAAAAGTCCAAACTGGTCAAAATATCGCACTCGTATTATTTTGTGGACAATTGTACAAGCACACATGAGCACCACAGTTAACAGAATCGTTTGGGTTCATTATCTATAACATAAAGAATGATTTGTATGATATTGAAAAATCTTATGTTAACAAATTAACAAATGAATAAAGTATTATCTGACCATTTCCATGACTGTAATAAAACGGTGAATGTACGATTACATAAGATACATACAAAAGAAATGGGAGTTTAATATAAACTGTTATGAGTGATTATTTTTGTTTGTTTTTGCTTTGATTGTGATTCCAGACGAGTACAGCAAAATAACGGTAATATATAGAGCAAACTTAAAATGAATTAACGAAATTATTTGCTTTTGATACCATGAAATACGATTTACAGATGATTAGATTTAATAAAGAAATAAAAAAAAATAATTGTGGCGAAAAAAAAATCGAACGTAACAAACGTAAAACTCACCTCCAATAAATATTACAACATAGTAGTAGTAGTAGTAGTAGTGGTGGTGGTGGCGGAAGTATTGGACGGAAACTGTACGTACGAACGAACAAACGAACGACCGAACGAACGCATTGAAAACATTTGCTACACAGCGGAGAGCTTATACAAAGCTTGGCTGAGCAGACATTGAAGTTGAGGCTGAAGCTGAGCTTGGGCTTGAGGTTTGATTGGAGCTTGTGGTGGTGAAGGCGTGTGTACATGTTTAAGTGTATGCACAAGCGCGATCGAAGTGGGGAAGAAGAAGAAGAAGAACAAGAAGAATTCAAGTTGCAGTAGAAGTTCAAATCGAAGATCGTTAGAATAAAAGTGATGGTAGATAGTCGTAGCGGTTGTGGTTGGTTGTATTGATAGTAGTAGCAGTTATGGTAGTAGTTGTAGAAGAAGCAGTAGAAGTAGTGGTATATAGTACGATTAGTTGTGGTTTTAGATGGTGTTGTAGAATTTTACAAGTCACAAGTTTTTTTACAAAATTTTTTTAACACTCAAATTTAATTTCCATTTAACTCTATCTATGTATATGTAGTTTATTATAAGCTTAGCAGTTTAAATTTGTATCAGTTTTTGAGTATTGACTAGCGAAGAAAGAACGAAAAAGAAAAGAAGAATTTATGTAGTAAAACAGTTGGAAAAGAAAAATAGTTAATTTACTGAAAAAGTGAGGCAATTATGATGATTAACATAGGCTTAAAAAATAGTGGTCTACTCTATCTTCAATGAAAAGTTACTGACGATTTGTAACATAATTTGTTTACATATACATGGATGTATGTAAATATGTTGACGTGAATATTGTGGGGAAATGCTCCAACTCAATAAGACAAAATCTTTCTGATATCTCGAGAAATGGCGCAATTTCTGGCGTTCCTACAGATGTGCATGTAAGCTTTTATATTTTTCAATGACCCACATCTATGTATGTATACTACCATACTCTGCAAATATCTGACAAACCAATCTGAACGCTTTTTTCAGTTAAAGATTTAATAATAGCTAATGCAACATTCATAAGCAGTATGATGATTTTCTAAAATTTGTAATGTACGAAAATTTGTGGCCAAGCAAAATGCTGACCCCTTAGTGGCAAGATGATCGAATGCAGAGAGCAATTGCATTTATTAAAAAGGAAAAACAAAAATTTGAATAAAATTGTGAAAATACGGACATCGCTGTTCTTATTTACATTAATAACAATTTAATTAACTAGGTTAAGATTATGGGACGAAAAGGAAACATTAGTTTAGTCACAAGAGGACCAAGCTTGCCTAGGAAGGCTAGGTAGGATGTTAAGCAACTTCTCCGAGCGAATAGATTCTGAAAATATGCAAGGCGACTTTCCTATTGCCATAAGAGAGATTAAGCATCGCATTATATCGCATCGCATCAGTTTGAGATTCTTTGCGACTGCCTCTCAAACCTTTTGCAAAACCTCGCATTCTTTCTTGCTTAACACACTGAATTATATACTCCATTTAACTGGTATAACCTAGCATGGGCCTAGGAAACGTTTTCTCCGTATAGCACACCAGAGCCGTGACCGACCGGCTGGTATAAGACAATTTCAGCAGTAAAAAGCCCTTCCGAAAGACCTCTCTGGGAGTCAGGAGGCATTCCACCTTGCCTTTATTTTTTGTAAATTCCAGAAGGGCTTTTGAAGGACGTACTTCATCTTTAAGTAATAAAAATCATACATTTTTAAAGTATTTGAATAAGATTTAAATCAAACATGTTTTATTCAACTCCAAATTCACATTGAAATTAATTTGTAATGCCTAATAATATGAACTCACACCGCCCTTATAGAAGGCGTGCTTTTTCAGAACTTCTTCAGTAAGCCGTTTAGATGGACTTCACTTAAAAGGGCCTACCTAAATTATCTTCTGGGTAAGTATGATTTTGTATACCAAAAATTGAATTGCCCATTTTATGTAACGGTATTATGCCATACTTGAAGTTAGTTCCGTTGGAATCGAAATACAATTTGCAATATCACTGCCACCTATCATTTACCACATTAATAGAGCGATAGTAGGCTTTAATGTATGCAACCCGCACAAATTTTGTTCTAAAAAAATTAGTTTGGAGAGTAGATAATTCTAAAACCTACCTGAGAAATTCGCACTTAATTTTCAAATTACAATTTTTAGTGTCCCTGAATTCGTAAAATACAAAACAAGGCGAATTTATATTACACAACAAAAACAAAATATACGCACGTTGACAATATTACAACAAACACATCATTTTGACAAAAGGTACAAATTCGCCATTGAAATCAGCGGATCCGGTAACACGAACTTGTATAGATTCGCCTTGAGAAAAGATTTGTATATCAGTTGCTGTCAAGGCGAATTCATATAAGGTGGTAGTTGTAGTACAAAAACAAAAACTAAATTTGTGTTTTGCTTTCGCCTTTGGTATACTAATGCCAAATTTTGGATGTTCTTCGCTCAAGGAGGACGAGGGAAAGAAAATCCCAACACTCCTACTTTGGCACTCATTCATAAGGAGTTTTGACATATGCGTACCGAGGCGAATTAAAGCAGCTGTTCTAGCAACGCCACCTTATATGAATTCGCCTTGGTTGCTGTGGAGACGATGAAATTAAAATGTATAACTTGCTTAAATCATAAACGCAAAAGTTTATTATGAACAAGGAGCCTGGCTATATATGCCTCGACCCGGAGTCTCCAATGAGTGTGTTTTTCAACATTTGTATTTTCACTTCTATTTTTGTTTCTCCTTTGAAATAAATGCAAACTTTAAGAAAATACATATGTATGCCGGAAAAAGCGCGTTGGCGATACAAATTCCTATTTAACGATAATTTTTCTTTAAAATTCGAGTTATTTACCGATTTTGCATTATGCGTTGGCATAAATTAAGAATTGCTAATTCCAGCTATGTCCATCTTCAATGCAAAACAATAAAAAAAAAATTAACAAGTAAAAATATATTCACAAAATCGAAAGCGAAACATTTCATTTTAATTTTGAAGCACGGAAATAAAAGCAAATAAAATTATGTTAAATACCTGCTAAGATTAGGAGTTACATGAAAAAATTACATTTATTTTTTTATTTTTTTGACTAATAAATTTTCAAGGCGTTTACAAATTTTTGCGGTTAAGAAAATGTAGCAGTTCTGATTAGATAATCATAGAATTCACATTACTAAATACGTTTAGACACATTCTTTGCGTATATTTTAGAAAATAGTAGTAACTATAACAGATATTTGTATGTAGACAAATAAAAATAAAAAAATAAAAATTATAACGCAGAGTAGTAGAGCACGTTATATAGATGGTTGAGAGTAGTTACATTGCAATTGCTCGTCAATGTGTAAGCTTTATGGCCTGAAGACACCCAGCAATTGCAACTAAACTTTCGCACTCGAATTTGCCCTTGTACTCGCGCGTCGTATGCTCACATGCGTTTAATCGCTAAAAAAGACTCACCTTCTAACTGGA